CGATTTTAACAGGACAGAGATGTAATACAGAGTCACGTTACTGCAACAATTACCCACAGCCTCCTGGGGTAGTTGATTTTAACAGGACAGAGATGTAATACAGAGTCACGTTACTGCAACAATTACCCACAGGGGTAGTTATCAAAAACAACTAGTTATCAAAAACGCAACCGCCGATCTATCAAAAACGATACTTTTGCTTAAGATTGCGCAGCACATAAACAAGCTTCCCGCAATTCACCGAAACGACACACGAAAAAATTTACCGCTCTACCATGACTACGCTTCAATACTGGCAGAAAAAAGAGAATGAAGCGAAGGATGAACTGGATAAGGCGAACGCGGCGTTGGAGAAGTTTCAGGAGTCGAGGTACCGGGGAGTAAAGCTGGACAAATTGAGGGAGAAGGAGGAGCGGGATCTTAATGCAACGGATAAGGCTACACTGACGAGGCTGGCGGACGAGGAGGCCAGATTGACAAAGGCTGTGGAGGATTGTAGAAAGGTGTGGATGGAGTGGAATCACAAGGTGTTGAAGGATGAAGCTCAACCAGGTAAAGACTTTGTGACTCGGGCGCTGGGGACATAGAGTAGGGCAGAGTAGACATAGTAATATGGGTTATGAGCTTGTGCTTGAGTGTTGGGTATTCAGGTTTGTTAGGAACGGGGGATATGATAGCTTGAAGCAGTTATTATGGCATGGTCATCATATTATGAATCTATCAGATACAGGTGCTTCGACCTTGATGGATTACGAGTATGCCAGCATAGTACAGCATAGGACCAAAAACATCCATTATCTGGATTATGGGGCTTTACCCTCAGAAGCAGCAACCAGCAAACGCTTTAAACAGATGCAAATGAAGGAACCTATGATTCTATGTCACCGCCCGCCGGGCGCTACTGCAATTCCTGTCACGCTTATACATCCCGTCTTTGGCGAGTTCGTTGACAACTGCTCGAATATTATACCTACTGATGCAGACTATGATTTAGTTAATAGCCTGTCACAAGAAATGGCAGATTTGTATGAGGAAGAAGACAAGCGAAAACACAAATTTCTGAGCATAGTCGAGGAATATTATAAAGTCCAATTCTCCACTCAGATTCGTGATACAAAATACACAACCGATGGTAACTTGCGACAAGGAGACTTCTTTTACGTTAATGTAGAAGTTAAGAATGAGCTGGGTTCGGGTGGTGCTGAGCCAAACATTCAGTCTGCTTATTACTATGTTGAATTTGTGCGTTCACACTCGAAAAATTACCCGCAGTCACCCTTACCTTGTCTTCACATCTGTCTTGCAGGTATGTAAGGAATGTATAATGCATGATGTATTCTATGGCAAAATTATCCAGTGACTGTATTAATATTAAATGTTTAGGACCTTACATCGGATTTTCTGGTTGATAAGTTCGAAGAAAGTCCAAATGGACCCTCTGACGCCTCTGGTATCATTTGCATTTCATCCTCGTGACACTCAAATGAGAATGATGGTTGCACGCATGTTTGCTGCTTTCAGAGTCGCCATTGATCAGCTGAAGGCATACTACAAGCGTATGTCTGATGTCAGAGATCAACCTGGAAAGAATTTGCCAATTCCTGAAAGTCAATACCCTTATAAGCACTGTTACCATAATGGTAACACCAATGACCAATTTGTTTATTTCAAGTATATGTCTCAAATCGCAGATAGGCTAGTTTTCATTGCTGAAACTGAATCTCAAGAAACCATCATTGTCAAATTTAGTCGAACTTATTCAAAAGAAACACATGAGCTTTGTGCCTCTAAAGGCTTTGCACCAGTATTACGAGCTTACGAGGATGTTTGTGGTGGCTGGCACATGGTAATAATGGACTATATGAAAGCAGAAGAGTATCTACCATATTATCTGCGGTCAGACAAGCAGTACAGCTTTCCAGATCCTAATATTCTACAAAAAAGATTTACAGAGATTGTTCAAACCCTTCATGCAGAAGATTATGTTCATGGAGACATTCGTGATTCCAATTTTATTGTTAAGATTGATGGAACAGGTGTTATGCTATTGGATTTTGATTGGGCAGGAAAGGAAGGTATTGTTCACTATCCCATAGACATTAACTGCTCAACTGTGGAACGGCCTCCTGAAGTGAAAAGTGGTGCACCTATCAAAAAGCAGCATGATTTGGACATGCTTAACATAATGTTTAGGGGATCAAATTTATAAATACCACAAATTAAGTTTCTACTTTTATTGCTCTGCCTAAAATAAAACAATAATTAAATGTGGTGGGAATGACTTCTCATTCCCAATTGTCACAATTGCTTTATATTATGCAAGGTTCTGAGTGCATTATTTGTTTTAATTTGCCAATGTTGTGTATGGATATTGCCAGTCCAGTTTTAAGTACAATGTATATTTGGATGATAGTTGCTTGTGTTCTACCCACTTAATAGTTAGTCTTGTATTCCTATGCCTATTCTATGTCTGTTTCCTAATACAACATCTTAACTCGTACTAAGCTTTTTTGTAAGTTAATGTTCAAAATATTCTACAATTTAGCATCTATCCATTTTGCTACAATCAGTATCTAACATATCAATAGTCTTATGTGTAGCATAAACCACTATATGGACGAATGTTCTCTACACAAAAGCAATAAAAAAAATATATATATGGATACCCGTATATGGAAAATTATAATTATAATAGTTCGACTGAATACGAAAAAGCCATGCGTTTCTTAGAGATAGGTTGCTATTGTGGTTGTTCGAAAAAAATCCCAAGAGAAAATTTTGCCGAATTACGTGAAGCGTTTCAAGCCCTCTCAAGATCCGAACAAGATATATTTTTAATGGCCCAGTTGAAAGCAATGAATGGTGGAGAAATAACTGCCAGCCGACGTCTTAAAAA